GACTACACGCGAGTGACTCTGGGTAAGAGTGACCGGTGGTGCGCGGCTCATTGTGAGCTGCGGGGGGACCAAACATGAGCGCGCAAGACGCTAATACCGCATCGCGTTCGGCAATCGAGGGACCCCATTGGGCCCGCACCACAGGTCACTCTGGCGAAAAGTCATTCTTACGTGTAGTGGACATTTCTTGTGCAGCGAGCCCCCCGAAAATCTTGACCACTTCCCGCAGACCGGTGTCGCACCCCGAATATTTGTTTTACAGCCCTCGGGGCTGGCAAGGTCCCCCAGAGGCAGACATCTTCGGAACACCTTCCGTCGATAGTTTCCCACGACGCGAGGCGTTCTGGGGCCGCCCGACCCTGAGGGGAGAGCGTTAGGGAGGTCCGGCTCAGAGGGGGGAAGGTCGACCTGGAATCGGCGGTACTTCGCCGACAGATCGGCGGTGGACCCCATATGGCAGACCCACACCTTCTCGGGCGGGGTGGGCCAGCGGCGATGAACGGTCGCTGGGAGGTCGATGCACCCCTCCCCCCGAGACTGTATCCCCCGAAGTGCCCGAGGCCGTTCGACGGGGCTGGCCCAAAACTGCGCCCCCGAAGCAACCCCGGCGCTGAGGCCAGCGATGCCGCGGCCTCCTCTGACCCGAGCCCGCAGAGGCCAGTGGTCGGGCCGGGCGAAAGGGGGGGATAGCCAAGGAGGGGTTTGAGAATCCGCTCACGTAGCAACTTTTCCCGGCGCCTCCCGGCGCCGGAGGCGGCCATGCATCGAAGAATGGGCCCCTCCGTGGGGCCGAAACCAGCTGCATGGAGCAAATTTCGACCCCCCCCCTTTCCCAGTCCCCCCCTTTCGTCCGGCCCGACCCTGGCAAACCATCCCCTTCCGTGACGTCGGTCTCGCCTTTCGAGCTCCCCTCTGGCCGCATAGACGCGTCTTTGGGCGAGGCGAGGGGCACGTCATGGAATGGGATGGTTTGCCAGGAGTCGGCTGGGCCCCCCCTTTCGTCCGGCCCGATCCTCTGACCGGAGCCCGCAGAGGCCATGTTTTCCCATGTTTTCTGGGGAATCGACGATTCATTGTGTCCGTGTGTTTTCTTCCCTCATGGCATATGCTCAGGCGCTGGCCTCGCCGAGACAAAAATGCACGCGCCCGAGCGCTGCACAAATAGCTTCGGGCTGCGCGCGGGCCTCCCCCCTCCGGGCGAGGGGCAGTCCCGGCCGGCCTCGACGGGCCGCCCCCCCGAAGAGTCTTGGCGGCGCGCACAGGGGGGCGGAGGGAGCGGGGAGGGCTTCTTAGAAGGAGGCTGCTTCTTAGACGGCGCCGGCCTCACATCTATAGATGAGGCCCGCGCCTTCTAAGCAGCAGGGGTGCTTCTGAGAAGCCCTCCCCCCTCCCCCCACCCCCCTCTGCGCGTGGCCGACAGTCCCAGCTGGCCTCGTCAGGCCCCCGAGTGGCCTGGGGCGGTCTCGACGCCTCAGCCCTGCAGGGCGCGGGGCGCCCCAGGGGCGCCGCCAGAGGCGGCGCAGGGGCGTCGAGGGCGCCTCCGAAGAGTCCCAGCTGGCCTCGTCGGGTGCCTCTGGGCTACTCGGGGGGTCTGTTGGGGCCAGCTGGGGCTACGATCGGGGGGCCCGTTGCGGCCGGCCGTGACCCTCTCTCTAAGGGGGGTCGCCTGTGCGCCATCCGAGGCCTCACAGGACGCAGATCGGCGGCTCCGAAACGGTGTGGCTTGCGCAGGGTGTGGTTCGCAACCGACACTCTGGGGGGCACCCTGGGGGGCGAGCGACTGCCTCGACGGAGCTCTCCGCCGCGCCCCGAGGAGGCCCGACGATGACGACGCGTCGTGCTCCCCAGGCCCCGGCGGTGCCGATCGCAGGCCACACCCTGGCGAAACCATACCCTCTGCAGTCGCCGAGCAACGCCCGCCCCCATCGGAGATCTTCTGACCCGGGTCAATCCAGACCCGGGTCAGCAAGAAACCAAAAAAGGCAATGCAGGAACAAAAAACACGCAACGCAGGTCTTCGCACACCCGGGTCAGCCAACATGCGCGGCCGCCTCGCGGCCACGAGCGGCTCGCTCACCCAGGTCAGCCAGAGGGGGTCTTCGCAGGATCCTGCAGGATCCAGTGCCCTGGCTGACCCCCGTTTCCCTGACCTTCCAGAGTCATTTTGTAGCACTGGAAGCCGACAAACCTAAAATGCTGAGCGAAACAGCCTAAAATCAATACGTATAATAGCTGTGGGATAGGTTTTTACGTCGGGTGCTATTTTTTAGCCCTCCTGGAAGGTCAGGGTTGCGTTGACCCCCGTCTCAAGGCTCCCGACCCCGGGGAGCGGCGGCCCCCCGGGGACTCGGCGTGCAGCAGGAAGGTGGCGAGGCCCGCGTCCAGGGCCAGCCGCGCCTCCTGGGCCGAGAGGCCCACCTCGGCCAGGGTCGGCGCGCCTGGCGGCGAGGGGAGGGGGGGGAGGAGGGGGAGGAGGAGGAGGAGGAGGAGGAGGAGGAGGAGGAGGAGGAGGAGGAGGAGGAGGAGGAGGAGGAGGAGGAGGAGGAGGAAGAGGAGGAGGAGGAGGAGGAGGAGGAGAGGAGGAGGAGGAGGAAGAGGAGGAGGAGGAGGAGGAGGAGGAGGAGGGGGAGGAGAAGAGGAGGGGAGGAGGAGGAGGAGGAGGAAGAGGAGGAGGAGGAGGAGGAGAGGCGGAGGAGGAGGAGGAGAAAGAGGAGGAGCAGGAGGAGGAGGAGGAAGAGGAGCAGAAGGAGGAGGAGGAGGAGGAGGAGGAGGAGGAAGGAGGAGGAGGAGGAGGCAGGAGAGGAGGAGGAGAGGAGGAGGAGGAGGAGGGAGGAGAGGAGGAGGAGGAGGAGGAGAGGGGAGGAGGAGGAGGAGGAGGAGGAGGAGCAGGAGGAGGAGGAGGAAGAGGAGGAGAGGGAGGAGGAGGAGAAGAGGAGGAGGAGAAGGAGGAGGAGGAAGAGGAGGAGGAAGGGAGGAGGAGGAGGCGGAGGAGGAGGAAGAAGAGGAGGAGGAGGAGGAGAGCCGGGTGCGCTCGTGCCACGCCTGTTGGCGGCGGGTGAAGGGGGGCAGGGGAAGGGGGGAAGGCTGCTTAGAAGCAGGGGTACTTCAAAGAAACCGTCCCCCCTCTCCCTACACCCCCCCCTCTGCGCGTGGCTGAAGCCAGGGGCGCTCGAGCCACGCCTGACATCCTGTCCGTCCCTCCCATCCCTTCCCAATGCCGCTGATGCTTCCCTGTCCGCGGATGCGTATCACAATCGACCTGGAACTCCAAAGCAGACCCTTATCCTATTATCAACAATCGGCAACTGCGTACAGAGGAGGAGGAAGAGGAAGAGGAGGGGAGGAAACGGAAGAGGAGGATAATGACGAGACGGAAAGGGAGAAGTGGCGGGTGAACAGGAGGATGAGCAGAAGAAAAAGGATGATGATGATCAGCAAGAAGACAAGATCGCAGCGTGCGCCGAAAATGGGCCCCAGGCAGATCGACATGTCCACCTCGATGTTCATCGGCTTGCCTCCTGCTCCTCCTCGACCTTGACCCGACCTCCCCGCTCTCCTCCTCGCCCTCCCTCTTCGCTGCCTCGATCGGCGGCCTGGGTTGGCTTGGCTTTCCCTCGGGAGCACGCTCCTGGCCGCAAATTACGGCCAGGAGCTCCTGCGAAGCGTGGCTGCACGGCTGCCCCGACGTCACGCTGTGCCTCACGAGCGGCTGCCGTGTGGCTCCGCTCCGCTGGGCGGGACGCTCGGAAAAGCTTAGGACGCTGACGCTTGGGGACGGGGAAGTGGATAACGAGTGGCGCCGAAGCGTCGTGGGCCAGAACGGGCGGAGCGACACGCTATCCAACAACCCCGATCCGCAGCGCATCATGGCCTGAGGCCTGTGCGCGGACGAGGGAGGCCGACATAATTAGCCTGGCGAAGGACCCAACCATATGCAGGTGTGAGTACCGCAGTTGTGTTTCACTTTTTCGGTGGTGATCCCTATGAGGCAACGAGCCGTGCTAGGGGTGTGCGGAAATGAGTGGCGTGGTACACAACGCGAACGAAAACGATTGATCTGAGTACGCAGGGAGAAATGAGCGCGGGTGAATATGAGTGCGAGTGCGTCTGACTGTGAATGAATCTGCGTGCGAGCGGGTCTACGTGCATGCATGCGAGTATGACATAGCATGGTGTAATTGTATATGAATGTCAATAGTTTGAGAATGACTGCCTCTGAGTACTCGTGACGCTGGGCGTGGCCGCCGCAAGGAGCTTCCCGGGGACTCCCCGGCGGTATCTCCCGCGCGCCGCGACGCCAATGTCGGCGCGACCCCCCGCGAGGATCGCGCCCGCTTCCCCCACTTCTTTTGCTCCCTCTTTGCCCGCGCACTCAAAAGTCCAAGGCTGCGGGCGCAGCGCAGCGCGGAGTCCCCGCGACGCGCGAAGGTCGCCCCAGAGGGGTCCCAGCGACGCGCGCGGGTCGTCCGCTGCGCGGAGCAAAGAGAGCTAGCTGGCTGGCTGATAGCGGGCAAGGCTCGTGCCGCTGGGCAGAGCGACGACGGGCGAGCGTGGCGCTGGGCAGAACGCAGCACGGAGTCCCCGCGACGCGCGCTGGTCGCCCCGGAAGGGTCCCAGCGACGCGCGCGGGTCGTCCGCTACGCGGGGCAATGAGAGCTAGCTGGCTGGCTGATAGCGGGCAAGGATCTTGCCGCTGGGCAGAGCGACGACGGGCGACAGCACGGAGTTCCTGCGACGCGCGCTGGTCGCCCCGAGAGGGTCCCAGCGACGCGCGCGGGGCGGGCGGTCGCGCGGGGTAACCGCTAGGGCGAAACCCGGGCTGCTGTGCCCCAGGTAGCACGGCCACGACAGCGAGGATTTGGCTGTAGTAAGGAACTGTTGTTTACCGCGTCGCGGCGGCAACCCTGGCGAAAAACTGCATTCTGCGAGTAGGCGGCGTGTCGCGCGGCCGCCGGGAAGGGCTCGGGACTTTGACGCTTGGGGATGGAGATGTCGATTAG